AAGATGATTCCGATAGTGGATGTAACATTACACTCTCAATAGCAATACATGAGCCAAGTCCCCCGTCCTTCAGGGAGACGTTGAGGTCTTCCACTCCAAAAATACTCTTTTGTCACACATGCACAGTCCATTACGTAGTAATTGCTAAAGATAAGTAAACATATATATAAACTGTTTTTGACAGTCAAGAAACATATCACATATCTATGGATTTTGCAATATGTCAAGTGTAGTTTAACTTTTTAGCCTTACTCCTTTAGATGTGCAATCAAAAAATAATGTGTAACAGTAAATGCTCATTGGCCTGAACTCAAGCAAACATACAAAAAACCTAAAGGGGAAGCTGGGCAGTGGTGGTGTACACCTTTAGTCCCAGCCCTCTGGAGGCAGAGGCAAGAGGATCTCTGTGAGTTCAAGGCCAGCCTGGTCTACAAGAGCTACTTCCAGGACAGCTAGAGCTACACTGAGAAACCCTGTATCAAAAATGAAAAAATAAAAAATAAAGGTGAGACTTTCACGTTCTTAATTTTACTCTTAGGGTAAGTAATGACCTACTAAGACGGTGGCCCTTGCTTTAAACAGCTTCTACAGCGTTACCTGGATGGTCATCTCAGTCGCCTGTAGGTCTATATCTGCGGTAGTGAATTGTGGGAATGGGTATCTATTTGGACGGCCCTGTGGAGCTACCAGATTTTGACAAAGTGAACAGTCAAGAACAGTTACACAAATGGATGTCTACCTGATTCTACAAAAATTATTTAGATGGAAATGAATCACATTTACCAAGGTAAGCCAAATATTCCTTTACTGAACATTCACCCAAGTACAGTGCATAGATACAGAAGTCCTAAATGATCATTTTAAAAGTTAATTTGTCCTTTTACTTAAAAAATAGGTGCATCCTTCAGACACCCTTTATTTACTACTGATCCTACAAACGTTGGTTTCTGCTCACCCAGCTCCACTCGGGATAGTGCCTGTCTAGTGCCCTCAATAGGAGTCGCTCTTCCTAGTATTTTTGGCATCTGTGAGAAGAAGCACTCTGAAGCAGACCCTCATCAACAATCTTTCACCAAAACTCTTCTAGCTTCATTGAAAAGGGTCGGCTACATTACACCATGTCTTCATGCTGGATCTAGTACCATGTTTAGACAAAGCCTTATTTCTCAGCAACCATTCCATCCGTTAACACTGCTCTAGTTGCCTTGTAAGTGACACAAAAAGACTGTGTATCCACATTTTGTCCCCTCTTGTGTCATAACTTCCCAGGTTTAGCCTGGATTGCATGAGGCTCTCTACCAATTTCCCTGCAGTCTTCTGCATTACTGTTCTTTGGTTTACAACTTTCAAAAGCATCCAAAGCTTGAAAATTAGGAAAACAGATCTAAGTTGAAAAGCATTTCCAAATGATTGAGTGGTCCAAGACACCTAACGATTAAATACCTCTACTACAAGACTCAAAGCACAGATAGCTTTGTTACCCCACACGACTCAGCAACTGAAGAAAACTAGAAACTCATGATGTCCAAGTAGGAAAAGTTCAATAAAAGCTTACACATACAATGCACTCATTTTAAAGAACATTTTCTTAGCTAATCATTTCAGAGGAAATTCTTTGGCACTTTAATATATAACTAGTGCCTACTCCTGTATGTTTCAAAGAAATCTACTTGGTCAGCAGTTTCTGTGGAAGGGTTATCAACTGTTGCCCTTGAAGCATTTTCTTTTTACTGTATCTTGCTTGTCCCTGGCAGGATAATAAATACTGTTGTTCTATAAAAACAAAAAGTAAGTGAAAAGCAGTTTGCCATAATTTTCCTTATCTATCTACATCAATGCATAATTTCACATTTTAAAAGGTAGTCATTACTCCGGAATTTGAAGCATCTTCTATTTCTTGCACCCCATCTCTAAAGTAATTTTGAGTAGAGACATACTATTAACTGGCTTTAAAAAAAAAAAATGACACAGCACCTCCCCTTTCCCTAAAGTCTTGCATAATGATATTCTAATTGCTATTCAGACAGAGACTAGACCATCAGTGAGATGCCCTAGTTCTCACATATAAAATGCAGCAATCTAGCTCTGTGGGTGTTCAAAGTCAGTAGATGGTGCTCCATTAAAGACAGAAATTGATACACAATTCTGCAAGATGGATGTTCACATGCTGTTCACATTCCATTTCCATTCTGAGATTTCTGAGAGCAGGTACCATTAGTTAAGTATCAATGAGTATCTTACCTCTCTTTAACTGTCCCTGAGTGGACAGTATAGACAGACAACTAGTATGTTCTCATTCCCTTCTCTGGTTGACAGTAACTCTGACCAAGGACAGTTTACTGGGCTCTCCTGTCACACAGTTTGATACTCCCCACCCCTTTTCCCCAGTCTCTCTCTCAGAAATATTTCCAAGGAGATGGTTAGAGCTGCTCCCTACTCAGGAAACAAACAGGTGGCTTTACCAGCAAGAGAATGCTGCCGACTCTATATATTAATGCCAGGTATTTTTTACATTGGCTGGAGCTCCTGGGTTTGGAATGGATCTCTCTTAGGAGCTACGTTGCTGCATGCCAGGGATAGTTGAAAAGGAACACGGTGTGGATAGGTAACACAGTTGAAGAGGGCATAAGTATTAGGGGGAAAGAGGAAAGGAGGCAGAGATGCACATGAACAGACCCCAGCGAGCTGACTTCATAGCCATTATCACTCCATGATGGTTCAACAAGAAGAGCTACATCTGACTGCCAGGCTCACTAACCATGCTCGTTCCATTGGCGGAGCCTGGTCATTCAGTAGCCTCTGCTAATCGAGCTAAAACAATCCTGGCACAAAAGCCAAGTCCACTGTGCAAACAAGATTGTTCCATCACAATTTTTAAAATATTTTCTTATTGTTTTCAGTCTCCTTAAAGATGTCCTTTTTCAAAAACAAATAATGCGTTCTTACCTTTTTCGGGATAATGGAAATTTATTGTAACATAAAAGATAAAATTTTGAAATTTTTGAAGAGTTTGAGAGACAATAATTGGTTTGGGTTTTTGTTTGTTTTTGTTTTTGCTTGGGGTGTTTTTGTTTGTTTTTGTTAATCCTAGGGTTCCACTCCATATATTTTTGAGATAAAAATACCATTAACCCAACCTAGGTCTCGGTTTCCTCTCTATACATAGAAAATAATGCCACTCAGCCCATAGATGGCATAGGACTTAGTAAAATGCCACGCTCTAGCCCTGAAAGCCATTTCTGCACTGTTCCTACCTATGTTTCTCTCCTGGACTTGTCTTGGGCAACAAAACTGAGCTGAATAAATGATATCTAGAACTTTCCATTTTCCAAAATGTGGTTTTTTTCTTCTTCGGTCTTATCTAATTCTCAAAATCATGGTATGACAGGGAGTTGAGACAGGTGTCACTAGACACATTCTACAAATAAAGAGCCAAGACCAGAGGAGATAAATGGCTCTGCCACAGCCCTGTGGCTAGGTAGAAAAGGAATGATAAATGCACAAGTCCCTTCAAACCTAGCTCTGTGACTATCTTTCTGGACTTTAAGATTCATTATATATGCAGAGGCTGCACTATGGCCTCAATGATAACTATTGCATCGAGGTTTTCTACTTTGATGAGAAAAAAAAAAGAATAACTTAACAATGAAGAATGTATTATGTTTAAAATATTGGCGATTTAAAAACTCATTTTCATAAAGAACAGGGCACACACAAAACATGAACTATGACATCGTCTTCCTTTTGGTTTTCATCTTTTAAGTGTCATATTTAGGGTTGTGTTAGCCAAAGCTACAAATGACAAGGTAAAACTGGACTTTCTATTGCCAACCCATGTCTCACTTGAGAGAAATTCTTATCTGATATTAGACAGAAATATCTATAAATAAGTTACTATAAACATCAGGTTTTTAACAAGCAATGTTTGAATAGTATGCAAATAAAAATTTTTCAAGTTATTTCTCTCCGTGTATTTATGCTCTCAGTAGAGCTTTATGACCCAAACGGTTCCATGTGAGTACACCAGGGAATCTCTGCTACCAAAAAACGGTACCACACAGAAACCTGTATGAATAATGCGATTGGATGGGTTGCCCTGCCCACGGATTGGAAAGCACACACTCACACAGATGGTTAGGTGAATTTTCCCTATCAGCTCCTCAATCATTTTAAGTTAGGTAAGTGGCGAAAGTCCTTTTCACATCACATTTAAGTGGGGGTACTATTGGAAATCCCAACAGAGTCCTCGTCCTAAACCGTGTCTGTCCTTGGTAACCCACTACGCAGATTCCAGCTCTGAAGGCCAGGGCGATCCCCCTGCTCAGTTTCAGAGCGGAGCGCAGTAACCAGGCACCTGATTCCCACACCCATCTGCCCCTCAGTATTTTGCACTTTGTTCTGGTCTGGTCCAGGCCTGGAGCCTCTTTCCTTGCTCTGAAGCCACCAAGAGTCTGCACAGAGATTCAGTCATCAAGCAGAAGTGTTATCCCCTTCTGTCTGGGGGCGGGAGATGAGCTGGGGGTTGGGGTCCTTACCAGGACCCTATGCCCCTGGGGAGGGGAGTGGGAGCCACCAGGGCGGAGCGAAAGACAGCGCGAGGTTGGTGACTTCCACGCCATCACCACGGACCGGCGCCTTCCCGCCTCCGCCCAGGCCACGTTCCGGGGGTCCCCAGAGCGCAAAGCCGGGATAAGTGTGGAAAGGGGAGGTGAAACGACGTGCGGATGCGAGGCGTGAGTGTGGATACACACAGGGCAGCTGCAGGTAGGGCAACCTCTCCCCAACTCGCTCCCCGGACCTGCCCGCAGCCCCGCCGCCCGGGGGATCCCAGCGCCAGGACAAAGCTGCGAGCGCAGGGAGAGCTCGCCCTGGCTCACGGATCTCCCCCGGCCCGGACCCAGTCCCAAAGGACCTCGGGGACGTGCGAGCGGACGAGGGGACCTCGGGCTGGGCGCCCACAGCGCCTGTCCCTGGCGTCCCCGCCGGGCGCCTGTGCTCACCTGTTCAGCACTTTGCGGATCCTCTGGCGCATGCCAGCCCGGGAGGAGGCGGACAGGCTCCCGCCGCCGCTGCCTTCAGCTGGCAGGTTCTCGATGGTGGTCACCACATGGTTCGGCGGGGCCGGCGGCGGTGGCGGTTGCAGCTGGGGCTGCGGAGGCTCGGGGGGAATCATCGCGGCGGAGGCGGTGGCGGGCGGCTATCAGAAGGCTGCCGGGCACATAGTGCGCGGGCTCCGGGCCCGGGAACACGCAGAGAACCCGGCCAAGCAGCCCCGGCCCGGGAGGCGGTGCCGCCTAGCGAAGCGACGAAGCGGGGAGGCACCCGCGGCTCCGGCCGCCGCCTCCCAGCACAGCGCCCTCGGCTTGCTACCCAGTCCTGGCTGCACACCCCCGCTCCGGGCCGCCGCGCGCGCGCGACCCAAGTCCTGGCACACCCCGCCAAGTGGCTGCGAAGGGGGTCGGCGGGAACCCGGAGCTGCCGGGTCCACTGCAACGACCGTGCGGAGAGAGCAACGCGGCTGCCAGGCTTCGCCTCCTGTCCCACTGCCCAGGGCTTGTCCTGGCGAGGGCAGTTCGCGGTGGCGCTGCTTCAGCTGGTGCCGGCTGCGCTCAGAAAGCTGCCGTCTGTGTCTCACGGAGTGAGAGACCGAGAGTGAACCTGGAGCGCCGGGCGGGGGCGCCGCGCTGGCGGAGGGGGGCGGGGCGGGGCGGGGGGGACGCGCGCTCTGCTGTCGCCAGAGGGCGCTCCGGCGGTGCCTTGGTATCCCCAACCCTCCTTCTGGCATCCAAAGAGGCCCCGTAGGTCTAGGATGCCCTGGCTGGCGGTGGGTGGTTTTTGTCTTTTTAGGGCAGCACAGGATAGATAGATTCGCCCTCTGGAATTGGGTAGGGCTCCTCTTGCTTCTGCGGAATCCGGCACCCCCGGCCTGGGGCAGCCGCACGACGAGACCGCCGATGGTCCAGGCTACAAATCCATACTGAACACCCTAAGTATTCCAACTACTCTCATCAGAAGGGACCTGCAGAAAATGGGAAGAGAAACAGTTTCTCACCAAAAATGCATTCTGGGAATTGGGGAAAGCAAACCAAGCCACCCGAAAACATCTCCATTTAGGGATGGAACCCTGAAAGGAAAGCCAGCAGACTCTAATGGCACTTCTGGAAACAACAGGGACCCTGGGCATTTTCTTAAATTCTGGGACAAAGCTACTCAAGAGATGCTGTAAGAGTTAAATGATTTAAACTACCCATCAGGTGGGTCCAGTGGCTCCTTCAGGGACCTCCGGCTGTCAAAGCTGTGTGTTAGCTACTGAAATCCCTGTCCTAAACAGGACCACTTGCTACCAAATGGGCTTTGTCCCAGACATTCCTTATACCTATTGATCTGCATTTCAGTCAGTAACTGACTTTGGAAATAGTTTCAAATGTCCCTTAATCTAGATTGCCTGGGCAAGGATCTTGTAATGAAAATGATATGCATTTAAGATTTTTTTTTTCCATTTCACTGCAGAATAGGAATTGATCGCACTGTGTTAGTTTAACAGGTACATTTGTTCACACAAAAGCACACTGATACTGTCACTGAATCTAAATGCTCTGGAGGACAGCAGGCAAATAACATTCAAAAGTAGTAGACTGTATCGTTTCAAAAGAGAAAAAGGGGGAGCAGGACTAAAAAAAAGCCAGTCCTTTTCATAATATCAGTGGTACTCTTCATTTTTAAAAAACTGGGGGAGGCAGAGGCAAGTGGATCTCTATGAGTTCGAGGCCAGCCTGGTCTACAAAGAGAGTTCCAGGACAGCCAGAACTACACAGAAAAACCTTGTCTCAAACAAAACAAAACAAAAATGGATAAGTAGACAAGTAAATAAAAACCTCTCTAGTCTATATTTAAGTATCTGTCAAACCCAGTTTCTCCCTGAACTGTCCCTAGAGTCCCTTTTTTACAAAATTCCACCCAAATTGGAACATTTGCCATTTTATAATTAGAGCATCACCTCGTGCTTCCTCGGTGATTTGTCATTCTAGAATATTCACTCCAGATTTTCAGGACAGGCCCAAGAATTACTACAAACAAGAGCAAGGTTTGCAACCTTGTGAACATTAAAATTCCAATATTGCAATGAGTCCGCCCTTGGGGAAACGACCAGACATAGCAGAATGAGGAAAAGGTAATCATCTGGACCTGGTAGCAAATCTCAATAGAAATATCTCTATTAAAACAGCATTTACGGCCATTCCAGGTGTCTTCCTTGAGTGACTGCGTGCTTCGGCGCCCTCTCCCCTCACATTTGGCTCGACTCCTTCTGAATGTTCCTGGCATCTCACAACTCCATGTCTGCAAATGCATCGTCTCTCTGGAGGGACTGTTAAATCCTTCAGCCCCATTGAGTCAGGAAGGGAGGAAACAACAGGGAGGAAATGAGATAAGAGGTGGGTGCTAGCTAGTTTGTCAACTCAACACAAGAGTTACCTGAAAGGAGGGGACTTCGATTTAAAAAAAAAAAAAAAAAGTCCCATAAAACCAGGCAAGCAAGCCTGTAAGGCATTTCCTCAATCAGCAATGGATGCAGGAGGGTCCAGGCCAGTGTAAGGATGCCACCCTCAGCTGGTGGTGCTGGGTTCTATAAGAAAGCAGGCTGAACAAGCCAGTAAGTAGTGCCCCTCCGTAGCCTCTACATGAGTTCCTGCCTCCAGGCTCCTGCCCTGTCTGAGTTCCTGCCCTGACTTTCTACAATGCAGAAGTATAAGCCAAGCAAACCCTTTCCTCCCCAACGTAGGTTTAGTCTTGGTGTTTCATCATAGCAATAGTAGCCCTAACTAGTTCAAGTTCCAACCCTGCTGGTGAGAAAAGACCTTATATTATCTCATAATTATTAATGGCCAGAACCTCTCCGATTCTGTTTCACACTCAGCTCTTGAATAGCTGAGTAGCATGTAAGAGATGGAGGAAATAGCTTCAAACATAAAGATATGGAAAACTGGTCTTCCCACCTTCCTGCTACAAGAGTGTTACTTGTCTCTTTGTCTCAAAATCTATTCATCAGGACTTGTTATCAAATTGGGGGAGGGATGGGAATAAAATGTGACTCTCAGTGGTAGAATATGGGTCCATAGCCACAATGATGAGCTTATAGCTCCCTGCACAGTCAATATGTAACCTGATACTATTGTAAAATGACCCTTCAGGCATTTCACAACCACCACCACCCCTACTATTCTGAAAACACACTAATTCTGTTGAATATCTAAAGGAAACAGAAGTTGGCTATCAGCTCAACCATGTCTTTGAATAGCATTGCTCACTTTGAAGTCATTTAACACATGGAAGGATGTGCATAGTTTGGCCTAAGATCCAGATCTCGAAGCCACTGGGCTTTTGACCAGTTTGTTTAGCATAGAGTAAACCTGTGCATTGCAATGAAAATAACATCAGAGTCCTGGTCCAAAAGCACTTCCTCTATCATTTTCTTTTATTTTTTTTAAATTTATTCCATTTGTTGCTGTGAAGGGACACCATGACCGAGGAACCTTATAAAAGAAATCATTTAATTAGGCTGGCTTACAGTTTCAAGGGTTTATTTAGTCCATGACCTTCGTGGCAGGGAGCATGGCAGCACAAAGGAAAACATGGTACTGGACAAACAGCTGGGAGTTCTACAGCTGGAAGAGAGACACTGGGCATGGCTTGGGCTTCTCAAACCCCAAACCCCTCCCCCCACGGCACCCCAGTGACTTCCTCCCTCCAACAAGGCCACACCTCCTAACCCTTCCTAGTAGGACTACTGCTCCCTAATGACTAAGCATTCAATATGAGCCTATGGAGATCCTTCTTATTCAAACCATTGCAGTCTACTACCTGGCTCCCAGAGTCTATCACATTCTCAAAACTGTAAAAGTCCAAAGGTCAAAGGGCCTATGAGACTCACAGCAACCTCTTAACAGTAACCCCCTGGTAAAATCAAAATTTAAAAAATCAGATCACATACTTCAGACATACAGTGGCACAGGAGATGCATTACCATTCCAAAAAGAGTGGTGGTCGGAGGAGGAACGTATCGGGAAAGTACTGGGCCAAAAAGGCTAAAAACCCACTGGGCAAGCTACAAATTGTACATCTCCATGCCAGATGTCAAAGTTCTCTTTCAGCTCTCCAACTCCTTCCGGCCTTGTTGACTGCACACACTTCTCTCCCTTGGGCTGATTCCTCTCCCTGTTAGCAGCTCTCCTCAGCAGGTATCCTCTCCATCAGGCGGCATCTCCAACATCTTGATGTTTCCAGTGCAATCCAGGCTTCACTATCTCAGATTCACACAATGGTCTCTCTAGGTCTGCGTGCAGGGACACTGCTGACATGTACCCAGCCTCAGCAGTTTTTCTTAGTCATGGAGGGAGATGCCACAGGCCCTCTCTTGTGTCCTTGACTCTAAAGCCAGAACCATGGCGCCAAAGCCACCAAGTTCTGCTGCTTGCTGGGGCTGGAACTTGGTCCTCTTGTTCAATTACATATGCATCAGCTTTCTGTTGTTGTTGCTTTCCCTTACTGCTTAAACTGGAAGCTTAGCTGGGTAGAGTCTTACCCTGAGGTCACGCCCCCTTTACTCTATTTAGCCATCGGGCTTTTCTTTTAACTTTTTTCTCTCCTTGAGCACTAGACTTAGCTCCATTACACTTCCTGGTGCTCCTTTTCTCCTCAAACTTTTGTTCTCTGCTCATCTTGTTCCTTTTCACTACACATCTGCACAAGAGTAGTTGCTAGTAACCACCCAACACAGTAGATACAAAGCTGTCTTGAAATCTCCTCTGCCAATTCCTTTAATACAAAACTTAGCCCCAGTCAGGGTTTTAGGACTAGGGCACATTCTTTGTCAAAATACCACAAGAATGGCCCCTAGGCCACTAACTAATATCCTTCCCCTATGACACTTCCTGAGCAGGGTTCCCAATAGTTCACATTGGTCTCAGCATTGTCTTCCATGCTCCTACTAGGATGGCCCACTAAACTTTGCTCAATGCATTCAACTACTTTCCAATTTTTACTTTCTGCTAACAATGTCAGTCCTAGTCTACGGTACAGATTTCTATCTTGGTTACTGTTCTATTGCTGTGAAGAGACACCATGACTAAGGCAACTCTTATAAAAGAAAGAATTATTTAATTGAGGCTTGTTTACAGTCTCAGAGGCTAAGTCCATTATCACCATGGTAGCAAGCATGATGGCACACAAACAGACATGGTGCTGGAGAAGTAGCTGAGAGTTCTACATCTATATCCACAGGCAACAGGAAGAGAGACACTAACCCTGGCGCGGGCTTTTGAACCCTCTGTGACACATTTCCTCTAAGAAGGCCGCACCTACCCCCAATAAGGCCACACCCACCTCCTAATCCTTGTACTCAAACCTTTGACCCTATGGAGACCATTCTTATTCAAAACCACATAACACATAACACATGCCGCTGAACACATAGCATCTGGATAGTTACAGGGTTTGGACTCACCTGATTATACTCATTCTTGAGTAAAGAAAAGAGACAGAAAAGATGTGGAGAGAAAGGAATTAAGGAGAACAGAGTGAGTATGTTATTTAAATCCGAGAAAAGGATAAGATAATCAAGATATCAAAGTACAGAACTTTCATGAGCACTCATTATCAATTAAGATAGTT